AAATTCTGCAATATTACTGTAAGTTGCTTTGACTCTTCCCTTTGTACAGTGTTCTTTCAGTCATAAATTTTAAAAACACTTTCAATCTCATCTGTATTCTGTTTCATTTCTTGTGCTTATTAACTAGTATTTAGAATAGATCTTGAACTAGTTATTTTATACATTTGCATTTAATTAATTACATCCACAAGAATAGCATATACCTAGGACTTACGAAATATAAATCACTTATCCAAGATTGGGCTCAGTGTATTCCCGGATTCATCCTTTGTGGCAAGTTGTTTGTGCATCTGGCTGAGTAGGTGTATGAATACAGTTCTGTTTTGTAAAATCTCGCGTCACCTGTAGCTGGAAATGTTCATGGCTGTGTTCGGTCATCATTGTCTTCGAACGATAGTTTACATCTGACGGTGATGTTTTATGATAGCCTTCTCAATGGCATCTTTGTGGTTCATTATTTGCGGATTCTTGAATTAAGTGAGAAAAACAAAGAAGTGGTCAGCTCATGAAATTGCGCCATGACGAAGGGAATAGATGTATAAGGCTGCTATATGTTCACGACTCTCTGAATAGCGTTTTGAAGACTGCGGAACTCAGTGTGACTCGATACGTTATTCGACATTGCTAAAAAAGGCATGTGGCAGGGACTATTACATATTCAATAAAGCAAAGTGAAGCATCTTAACTAACAGAAGTTTATCCTGGTTGTATTTTGATTAGAATGTGTATTTTATTAAATATTGATTTTGTCTATTTATTTTTTGATCATATGGATATTCCTTTTATGGTTATTTCACAAATTATCATTTCGTTTGTGTGAGGAGTTCTTTCAATGCTCAGTCGCATAAGCACTTAAATGTTATCCATGAATAAATTTTATTTCAAGTTGACTATAGCTGTTATATTGCTACTCTCTGTTTTACTTTCCAACCATTTCAGCCAGAACAAGCTAGTTTAAAAGCAAAGCAACTTTTTCAAATTACTAAAGGACGCCGAATTATTGTGGACTCTTCTTCGCCTTCCGGAGATGGTATCATTATCAACGTCTAAATGGCAAGGTGGAAGTGAGTCAGCTGTATTCAATCAATTGGAATCAATTGCTCGTAGTCCAGAGCCTCGTACACCATTTTTAAATGCACAACTAACTCGTGCATTGAATCCGAAACTTGTTAAGGATGATGTAAGTATTTGGAGATTTTTTAGTTTTCGTTAAATATCTTGTTTATCATATATTTTATCATAAAATATTCTTATAGTAATAATAGTATGAAACTTTTTGTCGATTCCCGATAGTGAGCGTCTCTTCTCATATTTCAGTGTTCCATAAGCGACGTAATAATGACGAAATTGACCTTTAGAAACATGATCTTTATCCTTTTTGTTAAATGAAGATAAAACTTGCCGCACAGACTTCGCTAATATATCATTACAATAAGTAATGTATATATGTGTATCATGATCTTACTGCACATTAATATTTGAATTTAGTTAGAAAAAACACAATAATGAAATATGATTATGATTAATTCACATGAGTTGCAAAGGTTAGCTTACATGATAAATGACATCAAACAATCATTGGCTACAATTAGCGCGCATTGAAATCAATTAACAAGTTCAGGTTTGTGTGAGTCTAACCTTCATACGGAAGCCTTATCTATACCTAGATACCCAATCTGAAGTAGTAGACAGTAGATGCGTTGTTTGAACCGGCCATTTTTAAGAAGAGAACCGAGTGATCTGATCACCACAAACTTTTTTCTCTTCAGAAATTACGAATTACCATATTCATATTATTTAATACGAATTATCTTTTCGAATTTAATTGTATACTTCCTTTTGTTTGTGTTTTAGTTTTTACCAAGTCGTGTAAATTGGGTTGTACAAAGTTCTGCTGTTGATTATTTACATTGTATGCTTGTTTTAATGCGTTGGCTTATAAATAAATTTAAAATTCCTGCACGTTTATGTATAAGTATTCATGATGAATTGCGATATATTGTCCAAAACCACATATGTATCAAGTTGCATTAGCTTTGCAAGTCAGTTTAGCTATTATTATTATTATTATTATTATATTATTATTATTATACTATTATTATTTTATTATTATTATTATTATTATTATTATTTATTATTATTATTATTGTTATTATTATTATTATTATCGGTGTTTAGTTCTCTCAAATCAATAAATAATAGTATATATGTAAATAATTGTAAAACGCTTAGCGATTTTCAGGTATAATCAGGTTGATATAGATAGCCATGTTACATGTAAAGAACAGATAAATGATTCTAAATGCTTTCGAAGTGTGATACAGTTTTTAAAAAAATTTTGAAGGTACACGCGTTACATGGATTAGAACAATGTAACGCATCAGTTGGAAACTATTAATTCTTTGTAGGTGGACTAGGACGTCCTGTTGATGTAGAGATAATGTATCCAATGTCATTTTCAGTTACAATACAAAGTAATAATAGTTTTCTCTTAGTTCTCATTTTTGTTTTATCTTAATTATTTGGTGACTGGATTTCCATATGTGTAGTTTCGAAGTGTCATACTACTGTACCAGGACAAATGGTTATTCTGTACGTTTGTTCGATGACTTTTCATTTTCACCTCTTCTTAATCTGTTTACTCATGATACAAACTACTTTTTGCTCATAGTAATCTCATCATAAAAGTTCATACCACTTTTAGTCTCCAACAAGTTTGTCATCTTTACTTGTCTTTTTATATATTTTTTTAACGAAAAACATCATTTCAACAGATTAGCAATCTACTGACAAGGACATTCTTCGCCTATCAATTAGGCATGCGCGATCTCCCGGAAGTAAGTTTCTTTTCTTAATACTGACTTTTTCACCAATTATTCAACTTTAAAATATTATAGCTATTATTAAATAAATGATAATTGCTATGAGCATGAGAGAGATAGAATAAAAAGGAAGTTGGCACTAGCTGAACTAGAAACCTATCGACAAATGGAGAGGAAGATCTCCGATTAGTGGGTTTTCGGATAGTCAGGTCCTGAAAGCAAGTGCTACCAAGGCCTGTGTGGATAGGCCGTTTTCCCTGAGAGTTTTATCTACCGATACTCATAGTCTAAGAAATAAATTCTATGAACTAGGAGCATTAGTGGACAAATTAAAGCCACTCATTGTAGCTGTGAAAGAAACGTAGTTAGTCCATGACTTAGATATTACCCCAGAATTATCTGGATACCACTACCTAAGGAGTGATAGACATAGATGTAGGAAAGGAGGTGGCGTCCTTTTGTATATAACCAATAATATAAATATCCACTCCTTTGATTGCGAATCCCATGATAGTGTGACTTGTGAAGTCATTTGCTGTGAGCTGACTGTCGGATGCTGCACAATTCTGCTCGGTATCATATTTCGCAGCCCAATCTGCTTAGCTGATGACTTTATTTTGAGCCCATTCAGCCACGGAGTTCAAGGAACAGATGCTTGAAATTAAGAGAATTTGATGCATCTGATATTAGTTTAATTGAGGCGGTCATGGTAGGATCTATGAAGTCGAATGATAGCAGGTTCCTGATAACTGTAATGGAGCATGCATTAGTACAGAATGTATCCAAACCTACTCGATTTGGTGCAAACCAAGGTTCTTCTTTGTTATACTTGGTAATCACTCATGCGACTGAGAATATTGCCAACCTAAATATTCTTCCATTGTTAGTGAATAGCGCTCACTCTTTTTTGTCATTCACGTTTCAAGCTAGTGATATGATAAACGATCAGGTTAAGCCTCGCTCAAATGTGTAGGAGCTAACATATCAGCCATTCAGGAGTGTGCTGCTAAAACAGAATGGATAGTAGATACTAGCTCCTTCCGTGAAGAAGTAAGGGCTATGTTTAAAGGCAAGCATAGTTCAGTCACGTCTTCGTTTATACCGTAACTGGTACCACGTAGACCGAATACCTGTCCACCATGGATAACTAAACAGGTCAAGAAACTCCATAGGTGCAGGAAAAAGCATTGGAATATGTTCATCTCTACTGGTCTAGAACAGTACAGATCCAATTATTGTAAAACTAGGAATGCTTGTAAAGCGATGAGAAGCAATACTACACGGCCACATGTAAAACAATTGGTTAGGGAATGTGACACTATCCCAAACGCTTATTCTCGCATATGAAGAAGCGAACTCATAGAAAAGTAGCAATCCCGTAACTTTTGGCACAATAAAATCAGATGGTATTGGAAAGAGATGAAGTCGAAAAACCCAAAGCTTTGTCGGAATATTCTAGTAAAGCGTTTTCTATCAACGATGAGGAACGACCAACCATTAGATGTGATTGGGGCGGTTTGTCGATGGATCCCCTAGTTATAAAAAGGTACTGTTTTAAGATTACGTCTCGTTATCCTACTATTGAGTCGAGGTATTGTTGTGGTCGTATATTCGTCTTCATCAAGAGTAAGGATTGAATGGCTTCTATCCGACTTGGAGAAGAGTAATTTTTAACAGTCCACAACTTTGTAAATCTTTCATCTGTGATTAACCGTGTTGGAGTACCCAGATTTTGTAATGTTTCAATCGTGTTCTTATATCGGGGTTGTTTGGTCAGCCAACAGGAATGGGATAGTACACGACTTGATTGTTGTGTGCATGGTTCAGAGAGGTTTATATGCTGTATGTACGCAGTCCACCCTGTTGTAGTTCCAATGCAGTCCGAGTCCTGATCCACTTGTTTTAGTTCGTGCAGTTCGGTAGTATCACAGACCTTTACACACATGTGAGGTGTGTCTCTGTAAGCCGAGTACAGGAATCTGTAATTGGTGAGTTATACCAAAGCAGTTGTGTATGTATTCCGCTTTGTTTCAGCCTATGTACTAAACAAAGATGATACTCAGGTTGGCCATCCTTGTAGTTCTCACCACCACACTGCTCTTAGTCTACTCAGTTCCGTTTTGTTTGATTGCTTCGTTTTATCAAACTATTTTTGTACGGGGTGTCTGTAATATGGAGACAAGATAATGAGAATCGCAAAATGCTTTTGATGTTTTACGCAGTCGTTTAGACTTCTTTGTAAAGATTTCTCTTGTTATGATATAGTGTGAACGACAGTGTTGAGCGTATTAAATGCCTATTTGTTCTGTGCAGATTGTACGTGACAGGTAAATGAATGAGTTGTTGTCTCAATTCCCTTTTTTCGTAATAAACTTTGAAGGAAATCAAGATATTAGTATTTCACTGCATAATAGGCTAACTGATGAAGTACGGATGCTGACTGAGATAAACGATGATTTTCACTGATGACTTCCTTATATTTTGGTGTTATAACTCGGATTGTTTGTTGCCACAGGGCATTTGTTCACGATGATTTTGTGGGTGATAACGAATTTTCTGTGAATGTGTGTACTTATTTTTGATAAGAAACCTCTGTTGTGAATAGATTCACGTTCAGTTTAATGAGATAATGTAGTGAATCCTTTCCAATATTGGGATTGGAAGGTGTATATCAAAGTTTGAACAATGCATAAAGTTCTTGAAGTAAAGCACACCAAATTAACGTCTTATTACTTTTGTTGTGAGATCCTTTTAGTTTATGCAGCCTATGTTCACTGAATGGAAGTGAACTATCTATCTCACGGTGTCTCCCAGAATTTCGTTATGCTCTACTTTCACTGAATTGCTCTAATCGAAATAGGAAGTAATAATGATTTTTTTAATATAATCATTAAACATACTAACAGAAATTGAATATTTTACACCATTAATTCGCTCAAACACGAACAAATGATATTGTCGTCAAAGTAGGCAGACTGAGAGAATAAGTTCATTTTCTTCATATTTACATATCTTGTTTCTTATTCATTGTACTTAGAGTTAAAACGCGTTACGTAAATAATGTACCTAGTAAGTTAATATAGAATATATTTTTAATTGCGAAATCTAGTTTTGTAACTCTTTTCTAATTTTGGCTTATGCAATAGATTTTACACGCCTTATTTACAATGTGAATGAATAAATTTGAAAAATAACTTAAAATATCAATAGTATTGTGAACTGTTTTTTTTTCATCCATTGATCTACATTTCATCATCAACTTTTATATTAATAAAGATTTTTACCTGTAAATCATGATTGAAATTTGTCTGTTCCTTTATATTTTCTTTTATTTTGAGTATCTCATTGGTCAACTAACCTAATACATCGTTGTTCTTTAGAGATAGGTGTTTTATCATAATCCTTTGTATATAAATGTGTAAAATATTCTCTACACTTTTGATTTCTAGTGGTTCTGATTTTTTTAGTATTTGAGTTTAATCATAATTATTTTTTTCTTTCATTCATTTGTTAATTATTTTTCATTATTACTCTCTTTAATTTTTTTCTTATCGGTTGTTTTCTGTTAGTCAGTAGCATTTTTCAGTTCAGTTGAAGTTGATACCTGCATTCGTGAAGAGGCCAAAGCTGATTGTGTTACTCCATCAAATTCCGGTGGATTGCAGAACGGTTATGGAGTATCTCCGGGTCAGTCGTTAACAATGCAAGATAGTCTTGACAGAACTGGAGGATCTATGAAGTTGTGATATAGAATTATATTTTGAACTGTCAGATTATTTTTTATCCACTTCAGTATAATTTATAGCGCCTGATTGCAAATACGATGTTTGATTTAAAAGATTGAAGGTTTTTTATGTGTCCAATTTAGTCTTATCGGTTAGAGATAATGTGTACAGTATTCACACTTTTTGGAGTGGATTGTTACAGTACATACGCATTCGTTCAATAATCTATGCGAGTAAGTGTTGAAGAAGTAGACCATATGTAAATGGAGTTTTCATAAGATAATAAATTCAGGTAATAGCAAACGATAACCCTTAGTATGTGAGGTGGATTGTTAAGTCTTGCTGATTAGACGCTATATTCGTTCCTAAGCTATTCTGATAACTCGCACGCTAGAACTATACAGCGACCTGAACACCAGAAAGAAGGCTCAAAGTATGAGAGAGACACTTTACTCCAAGGTTCGTTTTTGTACAGAAGACATGGGTATTTATAGATGTTAACGTTTGTTAAATCAACATCATATTTCGGTCAATCCGTTAACGACATATTATGCTACTGACCAATAGTAGCACGCCACGTTGAAATTCTAGAATACTCCATCGTGCTCTGAATGGCTAGGGCTCTCCGGCTCCTTTTGGGCCTCTGTAGGCTCAATTGAAGTTCTCCGAAAGCAGACTGAACATGGATCTTCTTCAAGAAATAATTCATGCTTAGTGTTCTAACGTTCCTTTGGGTAACCGGTTTACTCTTGTTCTACCGCAGACCTTATGTTGTAGTTAATTGCGTTTTACTGTATTTCAACAGTACAATCTGCTATTGACAGGTTCATAGATAAATCGTGTATCACTGATATTTTATCACATAGTTTGACTCCTTACGATGTCCCAAAAATTAGACACATATTTTTCAGGTTGAACCCGGGTTATGACAACCAATCTCGAATACTGGTTGTAAAATGCTATTCTCATCCTTACGGGCGATGCTAGGCAGTCAGCGCAAGTGTACTTAATTTCTACTCCTTGTAACTCTAGTATGTTTGACTTGATTATGGTCGTGGCTCAGCGTGAAGTGAAGTTAACGTGAAAGTTTTCTGATGTGGCATTAAACGGGTGAGCAACATGATTGTACTTCCTTATCTTTTTCCTTGAGTTATATTCTCACTATAAAAACCTCAACTAAGCTCTGTCATGACCAGAGATTGTCACTCAAGAGACATACCCTCTTTATCCGCTGCTGCTGGCACCTTAGAAGAGCGCCCAAAAGTGAGGTCGTAGTGTTTAGTCTATTTAACAGCACAAGGCAGTAAAACAATCTAAAAACTCCCAAGTTGCCTGTCAAGGCGCATAATCTCTACATCATGATTGCATCGTAGATGTTTCTTCTCGATCTTCTTAGGAAGGTTATTAGAAAGATGACCGTTGACAAAGTTGCATGATTGTACCACGGATCTAACTTCTCTAATACCAAGATTAATATAGTTGAATTCCTCGTCAAGTATGTATCTTAGCAGTCCTTCTAAATACCCTCTGGACCTTTGATTTAGTGTAAGGACCTCTGTGTTGTGAACAGCGTATCTTACCAACCAGCGAAAGTGTTTTTGTTGAATATAAATCCGATATTTTCTACTACTTCTTCAACCACGTAAATATCACGTTCGGTAATTACATTGATTTCCTCGTCATATATGTGTGTAATTCCAACAGGTGGTGTGTTAGCAAGTTCATTAAAATTCTGAATCGGAATCTCTCTCAGTCTCAACTAAAGGTTGTGTATGTTGTTGGAGCTTTTAAAAATGGATCATGTAACAGCGATTTCATGCCTTTAATTTTCAATGTATTAAGCAGTAAGCTATATCCTCTTCCTTTAGTTAACAACTGAATTGACAAACTAATATTAATCTAGACTACATCCGTGCAGTCGCCTAACGAAGTATATACTTTTAAAAATGAATATTGTTCGTGAACTGTTATTGGAATTACGGGCAGGTGAACCTTTTCCACGCTATACGCATATCAACATGGTTTACTTAACTTTAGGGTACATCAGATGATTTGCGTAATAAAGGCTAGGTCTATTCAGGAATTAATATTCCTTGAGGTTCCTTTACTCAGCAATTTCGGCTGCCTCTCGTAATAGAAAGATTATAATACTGGATTACACAATACGAATAATAATAGATTTAGTGAATATAATAAGATGATTAAAATATTTTTGTTACAATACTTAAATTCATAGAGGTGTGAAAATAAATAAGGTGATATGATGAGTGTTTATGAATAAAATAATGAGAATATAAGACATAAGTAAAGGTCAATGCAGTAATAATAACGATAAAATAATAATAAGGCCAAGGTAACGATAAGACGTGCTTCTTTTGTGCGCATAGTTCTGGATGGAGCTCATAGATGGTAAGAGCTTCGTCTATTTTTAAGAGTTGGACACGGAGAAATCGAGGTAGATTTGAACGAATCAAAGAAACAACCTTAAAATAAAACTGGATCCGTAGAATGATTAGTCGATTAGGTGTTCAAGTATAGAACTCCAAACTGCTTTCCTTTCACCCTTGTAGAACCAAACTGGAATATATTCTCATATCCGAGTTGGAAGCGAGCGCTGGCTACGGCCAATGTACCTTGCTCCACAAAAGCAGGTGAACTGGTAGATGCACATGGAGGCGACCAGACGCGGAAGCTTATCTTTTATGGATACAGAAAATAAGTTCCTCCTAGTGAAGGTTATTCGCAGTTTTGCAGCATTGAATGTTCTTTAATCGCTGTCGTTAGGCGATTTTTGATTACGTCAGATGTTCAATTCCCTTTAAATTTCACACTTATAAATAGGTTTTTCTTTGGGACGGAAAACTAGATTTTCCTGCCGCAACTACTTCTATTCATATTCTTCTCTATTGAACGGTCTGGGTAGCCATTTTCCGTCAAGGTTTTCCTGAGGAATGCGAGTTCTTCGTCAATGCATTCCATAGTGCATATCCGATGTACTCGGTGACATCACGAGTGGATGAGACTTCTATTTCTACTCAAAGAGACTCAGCTATAGAAGTTGGTTAGCTGGCCATTCCATGTTTGTTTTCTAAAGATGGATCTTTTCAAGGAACAATTACTCCCTCTCATCAGACGCACATCGAGAATAGAGATGGATTGGCCTCGCCCACTCTTTAACGTGAAGTCTATGGAAGAGTGACATGAGTTGAAGGTGCGTAAGGTATCCTCTAATTCAATATTATCATTACAAACGACAAATGTGTCGTCCATGTATCTTACGTATAGGTGAAATCGATTAGTCATTGAACTGAGTTGGTTGTTTTCTAGTTTTGCGATGAACTTACTTACTTACTTACGCCTGTTACTCCTCGTGAAGGAGCATAGGCCGCTCACCAGCATTCTCCATCCAACCCTGCCCTAGGCAATCCTTTCTAGCTCCGTCCAGTTCCTATTCATCCTTTTCATATCTGTTTCTATTATCCGACGCAGTGTGTTCTTTGGCCTTCCTCTTTTTCTCTTCCTTCCAGAATTCCAAGTTAGGGCTTGCCTCGTGATGCAGTTTGACGATTTGCGTAATGTATGGCCTATCCATTTCCATCGTCTTTTCCTAATTTCTTCTTCAGATGGAAGCTGGTTTGTTCTCTCCCACAGAAGGCTATTGCTGATGGTATCCGGCCAATGATTGTTGAGAATCTTGCGTAGACAGCTATTTATAAATACTTGTACATTATTGATTGTGGTTGTTGTAGTTCTCCAGGTTTCAGCTCCATACAGTAGAACTGTCTTGACGTTCGTGTTGAAGATTCTCACTTTGATATTGGTTGAAAGTTGTTTTGAGTTCCATATGTTCTTCAATTGTAGGAATGCGCCCCTCGCTTTGCCGATCCTTGCCTTTACGTCTGCGTCTGCACCTCCTTGTTCATCGATGACGCTTTCCAGATATGTGAAGGATTCTACATGTTCGAGAGTTTCGTCATCAAGTGTGATTGGTTTGCTGTCCTCATGTTGTATTTGAGGACCTTGTTTTCCCCTTTGTGTACGACTATATACATCGCTTGGTTCATTTCATGACTTTATCGTGGACACATGCAGTACAGAGTCCATTATTTCATTCAAGAACTTGAAATCTTTAGATCCTAAAGTTGTGGTTTCGACCCCCTGAAGTATCAATATTGGGGATTACTGGACACAGACTGCCCATACGAGGGTGTTGTGAATCGCTAATAAGAGATGATAATTCTTCATACATACCTTGTGAATTTTTAGTTAGTGAAACAGAACTGTCAATACTGGGTTTAAAGACTTTGAAAAGGCTTAAAGTGGAGTTGTCTTTCCCAGTTTCTAAAGAAAATTATAATGCTTTACATAAAGATTTGATAGATACGTGTGCTAAGTGCAGTGGAGGTATGAAAATTCGGCCTATAAAACTTCAAGTACAGGGTGATACAGTCTTTCTTAAAAGACGGATAATTCCTTATGGTCTTCGAGAAGCAGTACGTAAGACATTAAACGACTTGTGTGCGAAAGGCATAATTGAACCAATTCAGCCTTCAGCACGGGGTACTCCTATCGTTACGCCACTGAAGTCGGACGGCAAGACCCCTAGAATTTGTGGTGACTATAGATTAACTCTGAATTCCCGTCTGTTGAGGTAAACGTGCACGACGGTAGAAGCTGGAGATATTCTAAATCGACTTCATGGTTCTAAAGTGTTCTCGAAAGTTGACCTAAAAGATGCTTATCTTCAAATTCCTTTAGATGAATCTTCATCTATTTTGACGACAATTAACACTCCTTTTGGTCTGTTCAAATACAATTTTCTCCCATTTGGTCTAAGTTGTTCTCCAACCATATTTCAGAAAGTTATAAGGTAGTTAGCGATCTTGAAGGTGTTGAAGTTTATCAAGATGATCTCATTGTTCATGGCTCTAATAAGGTAGTTCATGACCAGAGACTTATTGCTTTATTGCGTCGTTTAATTGACAAGAATATTACAGTGAATCCAAATAAGTGTTCATTTT